AGCTGGAGCCCCACACGGCCTGGAGCGTGGCGGTCACCGCGGCACGGCCGCGCTGGCGGCGGCTCCGGCGCCTACAGAGTTCCCCCCCTGCTAAATCACTTCAGGCTGCCAAGCAGTCACGAGAAATATAAGCCCGCGCCGGGTTGCCATGGAGCAGGGCTCAGCTGCGGGAGCCTGAAGCCGAATCCTCCGGCAAACGTGTCTGCGGCCGAGGCCCTGCCAGCCCCTCACGGCCCCGGCTCCGCGGCGGCGGCCAGCGAGTGCCACACGCCTGGGCCCGGTGGAGCTCTGGGGACAGCATTTCCCCGACAGAGCCAGTGCTGCAGAGCCCCACGGGGACGGTGCCCCTCGCTCTGGTGACACCATCTCCCCAGGGCCATGGTCATACAGGAGTGGTGGCTTCGGTGGCGGCGTTTGGCAGCAACAGCGCGGACTGGCCCTGCACAATGCCCAGCCCCAAGCCTCCTGGCACGTGCTGGCCAGGGGGAATCGTGTCCTTCGTGGGATCATAGAATTGTTTGGGTTGGAAGAGACTTTAAAGCTCATCTATTCCCCCCCCTGCCATAGGCAGGGACACTTTCCAGGTTGCTCCAGGTCCTGTCCAGCCTGGCCTTGGCCACTTCCAGGGATCCAGGAGCAGCCACAGCTGCTCTGGGCACCCTGTGCCAGGGCCTCTCCACCCTCAGAGAGAAGAATTTTTTCCTGGTATCTACTCTAACCCTACTCTTCAGTTTGAATCCATTCTCCTTGTCCTGTCACTATGGCACTGCAGCTCCCATATTCTGCTGGAGCCCCCAGCCCCATCGAAAGGGATTTCAGAGCCTGGTGGGCTCCTGCCCTTGGCACCACATCAAACCATCTGCCAGGAGACAGCCTGTGGCACCCCTGTCCCCAGCCCTGCACCAGGGACATGGGACCCATTCCCCAAAAACAGCAGTTTGAGGCTGGAAGGGGCATTCCCAGAGCATTTTTGATTAGACAACCAACCGTGCCAAAGAGCTCGTGTAAGTGGAGTTCCTCCCTACAAAAAGGCTTTTGACATTGGAAAGGTTAATGTGAGAGAGATCCCTCTCCCTCACAAAGCTCCCTTTGCTGGAGGCCCTCACTGAGCCCTTAATTATTCACCTGTTGGAGAGGTGCCTTTCCATTACGGCATGAGAGCGGGGCAGGGATGTGCAGCAGGCAGGTGGGGGAAAACCCCCGGCGTGGGGCACCCCTGGGGCACTGCCAGCGTGGGGAACACGGCTCAGAATCCCGGGGGGAAGGCAGGCAGGTGTGTGGGGAGGCTCTGAGGGGCAGGTTCCCTGCTCTCCCTCCAGCTGCTGCCAGCTGCTTTCCCTCTCCTGGCTCAGCTCAGACTCCGCTGTGCTCACCTGCCTCCGCAGCCTCTGCTGTGGTGGGGACAGCCACCAGCACGGTGACAGCCACCAGGACACAGCCACCCTGCTTCCCAGGAAACTTCATCCTTCTCCAGCCCTGGCACTGCAGCAGCCCTTCAACCCACGCTGCAGCAATGCAGCTGAGGATGCATTTTGCACAGACCCTTGGGCTATCTGTTGTCCAAACCCACTCCAAATCTTCGAGAGAAAAGCCACAGAAAAAGCAGGATATCGGTCAGCTCAGTGAGGAGTATCAGAAATTAGGGATGCACCCCCACTTTATCACTAGAAATGCCAACCCAGCACTGGCTCGCTGTGCCTCCTGCACTCATCGATGGATTAAGCTGTTAGCAGGAGGCTGGGAAGTTAAAGAGGGAATATTGTATTTCAGTTCATGTGATCTTTAAACATCCCTCCGAGAAAGCAGCCTGGTTTTTTCTTTTTATTTTCCCCCCCACCACTGCACTTTTTTGGGATTTTTAAACAAACGGAAGCAGTAAGAAGCACAGTGCTCCAGCCTCTCGCAGGGATGCTGAGAGCTGCTCTGTGGTGCTCTCGGCAGAGCTGCCTGGCTGGCACTTCCCAGTGCCTGGTGCCAGCAGATGAACCAGCTACAACCAGCTTCATACCTCTGAGCAGCAGAGTTGCACAAAATGGATTAAGCAGGCCCAGAAATGACACATTTTGAGGCACAGCAGAACAAAATCACTTTTTTTTTTTTGTTGAAAAAAAAAGAAGGGAAAAAAAAAAGAAAAAAGAAAAAAGGAGTTGGCAGGAGAAAGGCAGATATCAAGTGAAAAACCCTGATTATCTTTCTGTAGCAATGCAGGTACCACGTGAATCATCGCTGTCCTCGATATGTAAATAGAGGTTAGCAGGCACCCTCAGCACAAACCCTGATGAATAAGGGACTGATGCAGATACCCCTGTCAAACCTTCCCCGTGCATCTCCTCGAGAGCCTTGCTCAGGATTCCTCCCCTGGAGAGAAAGCACCTGCACCAACTGCACCTTTCTCAAAACCTACTGCAAAAGCAAGGACTGGGAGCATGAGCATGGGCCAGGGAGCAGGAGAGTCCCAGTTCCTCAAAATTTCCACGAAGGAAACGGCTGCTACTCATCACCTCGTGGCCTCCTGACATCGCAGCCTCTCAGGGCAGTCTGCTCTCGTGCTGGAGCACTGGGGTCTTTGGGGAAGCAGCTTTGGGGCTGCACCGAGGAGTCAGTAACCCAGTTGTAAGCAGAGGCTCGTACAGTAGTAATGGGGAGAGACGTCAGTGGCAGCCCGGCCCGCCTCCCGCTCCCAGTTAGAAGGCAGCATGTGACAGAGCCAGGGCTGGAGCCTTCCCCCAGTTTCATCAGAGGTTAAGGTACAAGCACAACACATGCTTACAACTTCAGGCTGTTCTTAAGCAAATGCATGCAAATCATAGCTGGGGGGGGGGCTGTTTTTTCTTCTTTTTTCCTTCTCTTTTCTTCCCATCCCAGCCCCGAGCCCCTCAGCGTGCGCGGGGACAGAAGAGGAAATGGAATTATCGAAAGCAGGCGCCAGACGGGAGAGCACAGAGGGGCTGCACGGGAGCTGCAGCGAGCTGCAACGCTGCCCTCGCTGCTCCTCTCCTCCTGCACCTGCAGACTTCGGACCAGCGCTACCTGTGCGCCGGGGACAGGGAGAGAAAACAGGGCCAAGCACGTTTCATAAACATGGTCTCATTTCAGCACAGGCCATTTCACAGTTCCAAATTTTCCAGGGAATGTTCACAACATGGTGGGCTTGCACCAGAGAAGGATGACAATAATTCGTAGGATTTTTTTCCCCCCCCCCCCCCCCTCCCTTAGCAGTCCCTTTTTTGGAATAAGATTCTTAGATTGGCACATCAAATGCTGACCAAAAAGCCAAGAAAAAGAGAAACAGGGCTCCAGGCACGTGCTGCAACCATAAAGGCTTTTTATGTCGTGGTTAAGGCGTGGAGAACAGGAGGGTTATTACAGAGAAGTGGAGCCAGGAACTTTCACCTGCTCAGGGAGCAATGGGGCTGGTGGGAGCTGCAGCCTTCCTGCCGTACTTCCAGGGGATGGCATCCCACACAAGCAGCCCACTCCGAGGGACAGCGTCCCACACAAGCAGCCTCCTCTCCTCCAAGCCGATGGTTCTCCCGGCAATAATAAAATGGAAAAACCCCACAAACTGCTTACAAAATCTCGGCCCACTTCTCACCTTTCCTGACCCTTCTGCTGTAATCAACCTGTCAGCAGCTGTTGGTTAAGAAGCCGGGCTGCCTCCCCCCTGCTCTGCCCCCAGAAGCCGCCCGGTCCCGTGCCAAGCCGGAGCGCTCTGGCGCTGGTGCATGCGAGCAGAGGTGCCGGGACTACATCAATCTGGCTGGTGGCAAGCCCTGCCTGGTTCTGTCTGGCACACGCACCGCGGGCAAATCTGATTTAGCACGTCTCTAGCCCTTGTTTGTTTTGAACCCAAACGGCGGCAGGATGAAGCCCTGGTCCTGCTCCCCACAAACACACACACACACGCTGCTGCTGTTTGCAACAGCGGGGCTGAAGCGGCGAGAGAGCAAGGCTTGGGATGAATGTGCTCGCTTCACAATCAGAGCTATTTTGTAATCCGTGGTTATGAAAGTGAAGGGTCGGGGGGATGATACATAACTACAGAAAACTCTTCCCACTTACAGCAGCCTCATCAAGCCGACTGCGAAATGCGCGGCCGCGCTCGGGCTCAGCCCCGGCTCCGGCTCCTGCCCGGTTTATTGTATAGCGCCTCTCTTGCAGCCCCCAAAATGGAAAAGCATGCGAGCCCTATAGCCAGCACGGCTCGCTCTCGTGATCCCGCCGGAGATGCCAAGGAGTCTTAATCTGATTTTAATACCCAGCTCCGTCCAAAACACAGCCCATCCACATTTTGGAGCAGGCGACTCGCAGCAACGAGACCCCTGTCGCTGTCGCACCCCCCCCCCCCCCCCCCCCACCCCC